CACTTCTTGCTGCTTTCGATTCGTTTTCCACGCATTCATCTTCTACAGTCGTCTTTGAATACTTTCCATGTTTTTCGTATTTTTGTTGAGCAAACGCGAGGTGTTATTATTCTTTATTCACGAATAAGCTGACGTTTTGGCGGATTTCGCCTTCCTCAGCGCCTGGAAAGGTCAAGTTGATAGCAACTCACTCGGTCAGACGCCTCCATAACCAAACAAAGAAACTCCAAACCAAGATTTCAATCACTTTGAACACAGCTCTGCACACTCACCGCTTTCTATGTTTCCACTAAGTACGTCACGTAGAGACCAACCGCACAGAAATCACGTGGAAGTATAATGTGCCCCTCACATCAGAAAAGCAGTTTTATATACTGCCCTATATCACGCGTGATAATGAGGCATTCTTCCCTGCGGTTCATTTTCGGATTTCAGGAATTAATCCAGAGTGCCTCGAGAGTTTTTCGCGCCTGTGTTCTTGATTCGCGTGCGAGGATCGTGACACAAACTTCGAAGTCGTCCCCGTCTATTTTCTATTTTCTAGTCTAGTTTTCTAGTCTATTTTCTATATGTATTAGCCGCTCGCTTTAAAACAAAATTTATTCTTTGCTTCCCAGCAAAGAATTACAAGCCGATATCGTTAGTAAAGCTTTCCGCCCTGTCAGAGTACGCCGTATATCGCAATGGTTTTCTACAACACCTTCGTTCATTTAGTCCTCGTTTCCAGTTTAAACATCGTGAGTCGTCTTTCCTAAACATTCCTAGTGGTTTGCTGCCTCGTTANGCCCTATATCACGCGTGATAATGAGGCATTCTTCCCTGCGGTTCATTTTCGGATTTCTGGAATTAATCCAGAGTGCCTCGAGAGTTTTTCGCGCCTGCGTTCTTGATTCGCATGCGAGGATCGTGACACATACTTCGAAGTCGTCCCCGTCTATTTTCTATTTTATAGTCTAGTTTTTTAGTCTATTTTCTATATGTATTAGCCGCTCGCTTTAAAACAAAATTTATTCCTTGCTTCCCAGCAAAGAATTACAAGCCGTTATCGTTAGTAAAGCTTTCCGCCCTGTCAAAGTACGCCGTATATCGCAATGGTTTTCTACAACACCTTCGTTCATTTGGTCCTCGTTTCCAGTTTAAACATCGTGAGTCGTCTTTCCTAAACATTCCTAGTGGTTTGCTGCCTCGTTATGACTAGAGATATCGAACTACAATGTACATCTGAGAGTTCAACTTTCACTAAAGTCTCCTGTGCTAAGAAAAGAGTTGACATTTCCATCTGAAAAAGCACCTACTATTAAGCGAATGACAATATTCACTGCCATACTAGCAATAACAAAATCACCAGTTGGAAAGTGATGGCAACATGAGAAAACTCAAGCTTGGTTTTCGAGACATTGCCGAAAATATATTTAACCTTAGCAGCATATTAACAGTTAAATGTAGATTGCGCCACCAACCATAGAATTCTTCTTAATCCATAAAGACGATTCATTCCTGCATGCAAATAAGTAGTTTCACCATTTCTCAACTCTTTCATTAGAAGCACGTTGTTTCTCATATTTTGGATTGGATTTGCCGATAGTTTTAATAGACTTCACCGTAAGTTGGGAAACTCTCCTCCGATTTTCAGAACTACGAGGAAGAAACTTGTCCAACCAGTATAACATTCCAAATGAGATGGAATAACTACGGTGCTGGATTTTTCATACTCAGAACAGCTGTCAGAAGTAAAAGCGGAGTCTGAAATTTTAATAAGATCAATGAATTTTGGTCAAAACAAATTATGTTGACGATAAAAGTGAAGAAAGTAGCGCTTCCACTGAGCTAAATACCTACCGTTGATCCCAGAATAAATCTTGATTCAAGGAAAAAAAAACTGCACGCCTTTCCAAAGGACCGGTGTGTCATCGTACATGGTAGAATTTTGTTTGCAATTCGAAGTGTAAGCTTTCTGTTTTTTTTTTCAGTATTCACATCGATATGGTAAAGCCCAACTAAAAGTTAGTTTGTGTAATTTCATTTTCGATGACCACTAATAAATTGCCTGTCCGATGTTTACCACAGTAACTCTGTGTACTGACAGTGTACTGACTGTGTACAATCTGATTTGGTAAAAGAGAAACTGTTTCTTCTTTCAGATAATGCATAAACGGCTAAAGGTTATAGTCCTGTTGTTCGGTGTACTTCTCCTAATCGGAATGTTTACTCAATTCCTTATGCCTTATCAGTCACTGATCGTAAGTTTGTGAAGAATTGCATCTGTTGAATTAAAAGAAGCACGATAAAATACATTTATTCAGTCATATTTCTTCATATGCTTCTTCTCNTTCGGTGTACTTCTCCTAATCGGAATGTTTGCTCAATTCCTTATGCCTTATCAGTCACTGATCGTAAGTTTGTGAAGAATTTCATCTGTTGAATTAAAAGAAGCACGATAAAATACATTTATTCAGTCATATTTCTTCATATGCTTCTTCTCTCTTTTCATCCCGTCTTTTTTGTTCCTCCTTTTTCTATTAATACTGATAGCAGGAATTGTCATACTTCCTTGAAATCATAGCCTTAAGAAGAAGTATTGATTGATATTGATAGCGTTATTGATAGAGCGCGTAGCAATGACCCATGCCATTTGGAAGGCACTTCTAATCATGTTGGAGCAAATATCGCGATTACTTTCATTGGCACTTCAATAGCAGTTCCCAAGACCGACTTTCTGTTAACCTCGGCATTGATTGATAATTCGATATTTTTCTTCACTCGTGTCTGCTTATTGAAGAAAGACATCGAATTACTTTCATTGGTTTCTGAGAAAACTAGCAAATAACTAACATTGGTTTACCTTTTTTTGACAAAACGGTTTTGTAGAAATTNGCACTTCAATAGCAGTTCCCAAGACCGACTTTCTGTTAACCTCGGCATTGATTGATAATTCGATATTTTTCTTCACTCGTGTCTGCTTATTGAAGAAAGACATCGAATTACTTTCATTGGTTTCTGAGAAAACTAGCAAATAACTAACATTGGTTTACCTTTTTTTGACAAAACGGTCTTGTAGAAATTTGAAAAGGCATTTTCTCGGATTGTGATCAACTACCAATATTTAGGAGTGATTTCTGTGTCAGCCATCCCATCGTCCAACTCTTAAGATTTCTGTAGGGTTTCGCATTATATTAGGTTAATTGGGCTGGTGCTACAAGTTCAGCGCAGTAGTTGAAGGTTCCTAAAATGAACACCAAATTTCTGGTCTGATCCCGTAAAAGTTGATCAATAGAAGTAAGCAGAAATTTGGTTCATCCAATATCTCTCCTCGTTTCTCCTTAGTGTGTGGAATTTGCAGTGGATATGTGCGCTTTAAGTGTTTGTGTCTTCTGAAAGATCTGTTTCCCTCAGCAGCTTAAGTCTTAGCAATAGCAACAAATATAGATGACTCGCAGAATCAACTTTGCATGCAAAACGTCAGATGGTCTTTAATGGTTTACCTACGTTGTCTCTTCAGGTATAAAAGAAGGATGAAATTTTCGTCTTTGATTAATCCCTGAAGGATGCGCTAAGCATTGGACCTCGTTAAGCATCGTTGGAGATGATTAAATGCATATTTGGTCTTTACAATGTTCCGCGATAACCTACCGATATATCGAGCCAATTCTGTTATCCTCCCAGACAAGTCTGCTACCAATTTCCCGACCCTCGAGGAATGGAACTCTTGGTGAGCATGGAGCGCGAGATCGATCCCATGTGTATTTTAGGGTGCCTCCGTCCACTGTGCTACACGCGCCTCTCTATTCAGGTATATGGTCGTGAAACGTGGTGAAATCGTCTATGATTTGGTCATTCTGGAATAGTCCGTAAGGTTTTTTGCCCTTTGTGCGTCTCTTTTGCTACACTCACTTTATCATCGAATGTAATGCCAGAAATGTGTGAACCCGCTGTGGTTGACAAATTGAAAAACAGTTGAGCAGTTTGTTTTCAAATCCTGAGGTGAGGAAAAAATCATTCATCAAAATCCTTCATCCAGGGAGGTCTTCAGTTTAACGTGAGAGTTCGGCTTTAACTCGTCTTCACTAATATTTTGAATGCTTGTGGAGATGTTTCAGCCTAGAATCTTGTGATAGTTCTGCCAGAGCTTCTCTTGGTATCCATGACTGACATTAGCCGGCGGACAGAGCTTCTCGCAGAGAAGTCTGGTACAGAATAGTGGACCCTGGAAGGACTGAAGGCCACTTGGTTGGCCTAGAGTCATGCGTTTATTGGACCTCATTTTGAATCACCATGTTAATCTACCTGTAGCAGTAAGTGCTTGTGGCAAAACTTGAAAATCCATCCGTTGATTTTCCTCAAAGCTGAAGCATAGAAAATTTTTAGTGAAACATGCTTAGATTTAGCAATATCGTTTTCAATGTACAATTTTTAAAGGCAGAAACCAAAAACCTTGTGCCAGAGTCTGAATGTGTTTGCGAGCTGGACAATATTCGACATGATTTCTGCTATCGACTGCCAGCGGCTTCAGATATTCGTGGGACGCGATTCAATTGTACATATGCGGCACATTTGAAAATGCTAGGTAATATTACCNTTGGCCTAGAGTCATGCGTTTATTGGACCTCATTTTGAATCACCATGTTAATCTACCTGTAGCAGTAAGTGCTTGTGGCAAAACTTGAAAATCCATTTGTTGATTTTCCTCAAAGCTGAAGCATAGAAAATTTTGAGTGAAACATGCTTAGATTTAGCAATATCGTTTTCAATGTGCAATTTTTAAAGGCAGAAACCAAGAACCTTGTGCCAGAGTCTGAATGTGTTTGCGAGCTGGACAATATTCGACATGATTTCTGCTATCGACTGCCAGCGGCTTCAGATATTCGTGGGACGCGATTCAATTGTACATATGCGGCACATTTGAAAATGCTAGGTAATATTACCACTGTTATAACTTTTTTTTAGAATTCTTAAGAATTACGACTTGTCTGGCATTAGTTTCATCTGCCCTATCGGTAAACAGAGACGTTGATCAATGGAAATCGTGGAACATAAAGGGATCTTTGAGCAGCCATGCCAACAGAAAAGCAACGAGTTATTGTGTATAACCTCGAACTACGGTTTGAAAAAAGTGGAGTAGATTAAAAATTCAGTTCTACTGGGTTTTTTTTTCGGGAAATTCCAACTTAAACGGCATAAAAACCTGATTTTTGCCAAAAATCTAACAGTGCTGCTAAAGGGAAACAGTGTTTGTGACCAATACTAAACGCATCCCACGGCATTACGATGCCTAGAGCCTCGAAAATTATTTATTTACTTATTTTACGTAACTCTTCATCATTTATAATGCATGGATGTCAGCATTTGTGTTCTCTTCGTTTTTCCCTCTTTCATGTCCACATCGTCTCCGAACATTTTGCGTGCTGCTTCGACCGATGCTTGAGGATTTCGTCATCATTTTCAATGTCGTAGAATGCTGATCCGGTTGATTCTTCTTACGGTATCGAATATAGCGTTTCCAGGTGGATTAGAAGAGAGTGTTGAGAAGGGACCAAACCAGCGCTTTTCCTTCATGATCGACGGCGCCACTAACCGCTGCGCTTTCTCCTAGTCTCCCTAGAGTTTCGGAAATGTGCACATTTAGTGTTTAAAATGATTCTAATAAAACTACTGTTAATTTTTCACGGTAGATACAGCGGCGAAGTTCAGTTGTAATGTTTCATATATGATCCATGTTTATATGGCATGCTAACCGATCATTCGATTTGTGGTCCTAGAACCGTAACCTGTAGAAATGGCTCCGCTTCGTCCATAGTGGGCTCGGATGTAGTTTGAAGATGTTTCTTCNTTTCGGAAATGTGCACATTTAGTGTTTAAAATGATTCTAATAAAACTACTGTTAATTTTTTACGGTAGATACAGCGGCGAAGTTCAGTTGTATGTTTCATATATGATCCATGTTTATATGGCATGCTAACCGCTCATTCGATTTGTGGTCCTAGAACCGTAACCTGTAGAAATGGCTCCGCTTCGTCCATAGTGGGCTCGGATGTAGTTTGAAGATGTTTCTTCCTTCTTCCTCAACGGAATGTTGAGTGCTTGTCGTCTCTTGAATTCTGGGTTAACCGTGCTGCAGAATTTGTAAGTCTCCACAAAGAATTTTCATCGGTTCATGTAGGACGGTTGGAGGCCTGCTATGCTGTGACAAAGATTTTTTGAAAACGGCAATAGTTCCTTAGGTTGTTTACTTTTGCAGTTACCCTGCCGGCTAATCGAGAAAGATTCAAAACACTTGAATTGTGATTAGATCTTCAAGACGTCGACAAACCACTGTCTGAGATGAAAGGCGCGACGTTAACAACGATGATCGTTTTAAGGATAGTGTTCAAATATCACTAAATTGGATCGTTTCTGCAGTAAAGGAAATTATTGCTAGGTCAAAAATCAATTCGACATTACGAAGAACGTAATGCGACAACAGGTGCAAATGCTTAAAAAGATGAAGTAAGCCCAGTAAGTCTTGTAAAAAAATCCTCTAAAGCGGATTGTCGAGATGACCTGTGTGGAGGGTAGATCGTCTTGGTGGCTAAAATATTAGGCCAATGTGCATAAGGATTTCAACGAGGAAATTTGCAAAATATGAAAACAGAAACGTAGTATGGGCCATTTCGGAGCCAATAACATGTTACCGACAAACGACAAACCCAGCACGCTGTGACTTCCTATCTAATCAGATAACTCCCATTTCCTTTATGCAACACTGCTCACATGTCAGATCATTTCTTTTCTTTCTTTTATTTCACACTACTCGACATCATATCTTGTGCGGATTCTTATTGTTCGACCCTTGACAAGGCTGAACCTGGATTTTATGCGCAACGATGGGCATCACAACCATAGCGTCCACGACGCCTCGTCATCAATTTCATAGTTCCGAATTATACGAGAAGTGGTAGAGAACAGGGAAAATGTTTCCTAAGTATTAGAGGGCGATATGGAGAAACGTTGTTATTTTCGAAGTTCACGTTTGACAGGCTAATTGTCGAATGGGTGGTTCTTATCTAAGCACGGGAAGAGAACTCCAACAAATCACCTAAGTAGCAAAATGACATCATGAATGGCAGCTACCATCATCAGCGGTTATGTGAAACGAATAGCTGGTGTTTCCTTTCTGGTTTAGCCTGGATCACTGTAGTCAAATTTGGGGATATGGGTCACTGGCAAATAGGAAAAACTAACACAGTGCTGACTGGTCTAGATTTAGCTATTTTGAGGTCTAGAAATATGAACTTTGTTTTATTAAAAAAACAAGTAACACTGCAATGAAAAGTTTGCTTGAAGGCCGATTATCGTTGAAAACAGCAAGATCTCTACAAGTGTGTGTTATTCCGTGAAATACACCACGCTAACCACGGAGCGCAGTGTAGTCATTTATGGCGATTTGTCTGTTTGAAAAAAGTTTGTTTTTGTCTTTTCCTCACAGAACAAAAATATGCCAATGTAAAGGAATATGTTAAATGTTTAGAATAATTCTCAAGCCCACTGTCTTCTAGCCTCGGTAAAACCTACTTCCATGAATTATTAAGGCAACACGATTCTGAAGAATATGTTTATTCGGCTAACGTTCCGGCGCCTTTATCTCTCTTTAACATTTCCTCTTCTTCCTATAGCTGATGGAACCGCTGAAGTCAAAACTGATTGAGAGAACAGCAAAGCAAGAGTCTCAGCGATGCAGTGGGTACTACATGAGCCCACAGGAAAGGTATTCGCTGGTTCGAATCTGAACTGGTGTACAAACTGCAAATATCTCATTTTGGTTCTATTTCACATCATATTCTTCCGTTTAAAAATTATTCCACAGTAAATGAAAATTTAAACACTGAGGGAGACGATAACATCAAAATGTTAACCAAATAAAGCTGTTTTATTAACCTTGTGTCAACTTCGTAAGCCAGAAAGGTTTAGAATGTTTCGAGATTTGTTCGTTTTGTAGAAAACGTGCGATTGTTTCGCTAATAACAGTTCGATTCGGTTCGACTGTGTTTGTTTGACTTTCGCTGTTGTTTTCGGCCCATTACATGAAATCTGCGATTACACAACGGGCTTCAATAACGTCATGTCACTTTATTTGAATTTTGCCTACATCTGAATCAACATTGACTGTATCCATTGTCATCTGAGTTCCTAGCATTGGCTCTAATTATAGAATTCTTCATTGAAAAGAGGAACGTGGAACAATGTAAGGGTACTGTTCATTAAAGCGATCCGAAGATAATCTTAACCCTTTTTATTTACTGCCTTTTTCTTCTTAACCGCAGGGTTTGTTGCGAAATATAACTCGTATGAAATGCTGAGATATTTGCAAAACTCCGGACCGCAGTTGTATGCAGTGGGGAACGAATGCGCTATTACCCTTTCCAGGGCGTCACGCGTTCACCACCACACCATGCGGGTCCTTCGTTTCGCGTGCGTCTCAGCTAGTTCTCCGACGAAGGACCCGGATGGTGTGGTGGTGAAGTGCGCTGTTCCCCGGTAAGGACAACAGCGCGTGTTCGTTCCGCACTGCATACCCCTGCGGTCCGGAGTTTTGCAAATATCTCAGTATTTTATACGATCCGAAGATATTTCGAAACCGACCTTCCCTAAACCTCGGTGTGACTAATCAATATGTATTCTTTCTTGATAAGCTTACACGAGGTTGATAAATATATTTATTTTCGGCTAACGTTTCGACGTCTTCGTCTTCCTCAGAGCCGGTGATCCGAGTCGATGGTCCATGCTTGTTGTTCGCCTCGACGTTGCGTCTTCGCCTTCGTGTCGAGCCAG